CGTCCTCCACTCCAACATTAGGACGGTAGGCAAACTGTAATAGACTTAAACCTCTGATTCACACTTGAAGAATCTTTAATGGTGTCACGTTAGTTTCAAACTATGTAATTACTAAGCCTTTTCCTGCCCTTATAAATTAATTAGTTTAATACATGTCGTTTGTTTGATTTGATTTTAACCTGTGCAAATAAATAGCTAAAATGTGTCAAAATATCTATGTTGTAATTGTATGTCAATTTTAATAATTTAAATAATACATTTTGGCTGTCCTTTTTTTTGATTAATTAAAAAAAAATCTTTGTATTATCGAGTTAATATTTTAACTGTTTTTCCCACACGAATTGTTGAAACTATAGACGGTTGAAACAGATGTGTACTTGTTTTACTTTGAAGTTTTTGACCGGAAGTTCTATCCTACACTAGGCACACACCCGCTATACATACGTTATATTCCAATTTGAATTCTTTTCGTGTTTTATCTAGTCTCTATACACTTTGATTTAGTCTGCATATTTTATCTTTATCGTTTAAATCTGGTATGCCTGATTTTAAACGTGCTCTTATTTTGAAAGTGATTACGGAAGTAAGGCTTGTTTACTTGGTGTAACTACCAAGTAAATCGGTGTGGCGCTCTCTCCTCCCTGTTGCTATGGAAACAGGGCCGGTCCAGGTGGAGCCACTGGCTGGCGTCTTCTCGGTCACGTGGGGGTCTGTGGAAACGGAGCAGTGGAGAAAGTGGTGTCTCTCCACATTCACATTAACGGAGAGTTTATAGAGAAGCTACCCAGCCGTGATTTCTCCTCGAATTAACGGTAAAAAGAGACTGACAGTGGCGTGTTTTACTCACCTGGACCGTGGGGCGAGTTGATTCAAAGAAGAATAATTCAAGTCGCAACGGAGAACGAGTGTTTAGGGGAACCGAAATTGTGTTTGTGGACGCTTTTTGGAGGAAAATATATGTTGACTCTTTGCGCTGACGTTTTTTCGCGGTATTTTGTCTGCTGTAGTCTTTTGTGTTAAAGTGACAGTTTTTTTTACATGGGTTTTGGTGGTGGGCGCATCCCGTAGCATGGACTTGAAGCGTTGACGCCAGTGTATTTCAGCTGAGAACCGGGGCAGCCAGTCGGAGGAGGAACACCCATGAAAAATGATGCATCATGGAATGTGATAATCTAAACTTTGAGCAACAATTTCATGTCGCGGAGAGTGGCAGCATGGGAAGCGGCAGAGACGAGGAGATAACAGACTAACGTTGGTGAAAAAACAGCCTCCCTCTCCTCGTTTTGTTGTGAATGTTGGACTCCTAAAAGACCTGGGGGACGGGGCGACAGTGTGTGTTGTGATGCTTCTTCTCCATTTCTTTTCTGGTGTCAGTTTTGGTTTCTCCAGCAAGATCTGTGCTATCCCGCAATGGCTCGCTTTGAAGACGAACTGTCCAGCCGATATGGAGGCAGCTGTCCCGCGGGCCAGGCCAGAGGGGCCATCCGGCAGCCGGGGCCTCCGGGGGTCCGGGGGATGTACAAGCAGTCGATTGCCCAGAGAGCCAGGACCATGGCTATTTACAACCCCATTCCTGTCAAACAGAACTGCCTCACCGTTAACCGCTCCTTGTTCATCTTCAGTGAGGATAATATCATACGGAAATATGCCAAAAAGATCACCGAATGGCCATATCCTTACAGCCCAGTGTAACCCGCATATACCACACCGAACTCCGCCTATGAATGTGTCAATTTAAGGTCCCTTGCTTACCGGCAGAAGATACATGTTTTTATTATATGATACACTGTCTTAAACGAAACAAAATGATAGAAACTTTAATTCGGCCTATGCAATGAAGCGTTTATATCAATGTATATGTAAACTTCCACAGTTGGTTCTCCTGTTTCCACAACCTTAGAGGGAAGGGCGGCAGCTCGAGCCACAGTTAGGAGCTCCTCAGTCGATTTTTCCCTGTAGAATGAATGTTCTGCAAGGTCTTAAACCATTTTATGACTGCCTGCTATGACAAGTTAACCTCAAAGAGACACATTTCTGAAAACGGAACTGTAATAGTATTATTATTATATTACCAAAAGGTAGATCCTTTGGAGAGTGCAAAACATGTTGCTTCACTAAAGTCTTCTATTACAGGAGATTCCTGTAAAGGTATTTTATGTTCTTGGACTCTCATTTGATAGAATTTGTCTCAGAGATGTTAATCGGGGAGTATTTCTGTGTGTCTCTGTTGTGAAACCTGTGGTCCTGATGCTGAATTCACGACTCTGCTTAGGACACAGAGCACATCAAGGCAAGGGTTAGAGTTGATTTATGGCCACCGTTGTGTAGGGTCTCCCTGACTTTTCAGTGAAGGCTGTCTGCAGATGGTGCTGTCCAGGGTGCTGAACTCCCAGCAAACCGAGGGCTGGCCTCAGCATCAAGGCGGTGGCAATCTGTATGGGTGTGACACCAAACCAACAAGCAGCAGCAACAAAGCGCAGCAGGATGCAGGTTTGAAATTTGCTGTTGGTGCGTTTTTTAATTGATTTGGGTCGATTGTGCGCGTGGATGCCACCTGTTGAGTTTTGTGAATTGACTTACCAGCAGAATAATTTCTCACTGGTGGAGATTTGGATCCTTTTTTGAGGCAAAGTCAATGGTAAAACAGGGGTGTTGCAATTCATTAATTCGCAGTAAGGTGTATATTGGCCACCATTACTTAAGTCACTGGTTGGTTACCCCCAGTGCTGAGCAAACATTTGTCATCCTACTGAAGCCTTTATCCCGATGCAGAGCAATGATGCAGTGCTGTAGGGGGGAATCTATTGTGGCCCCGGGTAGCTGGAGGCTCTGTGGCTGGAGTCCATTGTCCGTTTCCCTCTACTGAGTCCTCCTGGCAGAGCTGGAACCCTACTGAGGGGGTGTTGGAGTGGTAGTGCTAATGACGTACCAGCGGTGCACTGCATAGACGGGAGAGGGACCTATAATCTTTCCTTACCTAATACTGCAGAAATGTTGCATATTAAAAGAACGGTGATTGTTGTACTGTTGTCTGACAGGAAAAGAGAGGATTTGTGAAGCTGTTCGTATGATTCATTGAGGACTATATGGGGATATAAATACAACTAACTAACCAACTAGTTTGTGGCCATTGCGGTTAAAGGCGCATCCCACCACGTGTGTAAACATTAAGTTCAGTTTACTGGTTCAAATGAGGAGTGGACACTATAAGGTCTTCTGTGGCTCTGGAGGCAGCTTTTCAGTCAAAAAGTCAACAAAATAACCCTGGTGATGTCGGACTTTTGTCTCACTTCCATACTACATGACTTCTTCTATTACATTACACATTATATACTGTCTTTACTGTGTACGGTTTTAGCAGTAAGTGTACAAGAAATCACAAGCTTTACTGCTTTATAGCAACAGGTTGTACAATATGTGCACCACTGGCTGTCTATCAAATTGCAACATTACAAACTTAACAGTGACATTTTTCCCCCAAAATGCAATTGTTATATATTTATAAGGTGAGCTGTTTCACCAGCAACCCAGGAGATTTTTTAATCTCTTCTGTTTTCTTTGTACATTGTGTTGTGGGAGAATAATCTAAAAAAACTCTAGTATGTATGATGTAGTAATCTAATGTGTATGTAGTATGGATTTGGTACCTACACTATGTTGTATGCTGCATTGCATTTTGCTCTGTTTTGGGATTTATCCTGGTAGGATAGAACGAATCGGACATTCATGCGTGAGCTAGTAAAAAATCTGATGCAAAATGTAATTCTAGCTGCTTTTAAAAAAGGTGGATGTTACAGGCCATGTCTTTTACATTTGAAAGAAAGACCCAAACACCCAGCCAAGATGTAGGTCCAGAAAGTATGTTCCCAGCAGTGCTTTTTAAGTGTTTGGGATAGATTTGTCCAATTTTACTTCCTGTGCTTTGATGTGTTGGTTTAATGCCGCTGTGAATTTGCTTTCTTTAACACTCTCACTCTGTTTGAGTACATGATCCTGGCCACCATTATAGCAAACTGCATTGTACTGGCCTTGGAGCAACACCTACCGGCCTCAGACAAAACACCGATGTCAGAGCGCTTGGTAAGTAGCCACGTGACTGCTTTTCATTTCCTAACTGTAAGCTCTTCATGTCTCATACTGTAGAAAATATGTGTTTGCCTGTTGCTTTGTTACTCCATTGGCAGATTTATCTGACATATACTTTGTTGATGCCCCTCTGCAAGTGAAATAATTCTAGCGTAGGCTCTAGTTTGTAAAGCAGCTCAAAGAAACATGGTGGTCTGTTATTTTCAGCTGCAGACTGCTGCAATCAAGTAATAGAATTATGCTTAATCCAATCCTTCCCCTTTTTCTAGTCCACGTGTTCATAGATTTAAACATTTCAGAGCCAAAATATGTCAAAAATAGATAAATAAATTGTCCTCAGTGTCAGATAGGGTCCCCCCTCCTCAGCGCTGCAGGTTAAGCAGCACCCTGCAGAGCTGCCTTTGATCCCCCCGTGTATCATTGCCTTAGGTTACCCCTGCTGCGCCCTCCCCCCACCCAAGCTCTTGTTAAATCTTTCCATTAAAGAAGCAAGTGCTGTGAACCTGTGTGTCCAATCAAAGAGCTGGCGGCGGCAGGGGCAGGGCTGTTTTAAGAATGAAATGTCACTCCCCGAGGCAAGGAGCCTCCCAGCTGCCCACTTTCATTGATCCGCTCCCTGAGATGGGCTGAAACCCAGTCTGACAGACATACCACGGAGTTCATAATGATATTAAGTGATCAGATGTGTCATCAGGACTGTGTCACTGCATTATAAAGTCTGTATAGCTTTTCTGTCTTAACCCAGCTTTTATGTAACCCCCACTAAACATTCTGGAGACAAATGAGCATTTCTTGACTCTTGGGAAACTCAGGGAGCCGTGGCTCTGTGTGCTAAGGCTGTAACCAACAATTGTTTTCATTATCGAATAACCTGCCAATTTTTTTCTCTATTAGTCAATGAATTGTTTAATCATTTAATTTCAATCAATTCAATTCAATTTTCAAATAGTTTTATCATAATAACAGTCCAAACCCCAAATGTATAACTGTCATATTATACAAAGAAAAGTCCTCTAATTTAAGCAAGGAATCCTAACACACGAGAAACCAACGATTGCTGTGCCTTTTTGCTTGAGAAATGACTCAAATGATTTGTCACTTGTCAAAGTAGTAGGTGATTCATTTTCTGTTGAGTGACGAATCAATGAGCCGACTAATCGGCTCCACTATGTGCACTCCTTACTAGGGCTGTGTATTGTAAAGAATCTGGTGATACAATACGAATACCGATACGGATTTCACGGGCTTCAATATATTGTGATACTTTAAACAAGACAGTGTGTATTGCAACAGTGGGATTTGCGGAGGTGACATACTGCGAGTTGAGCTGCCTGGTCACACGTTCTCATATTACAACTACAGTACAATGAAGTAACAGAATCTTGATTTATATTTGATCAGCACTTCCTAGTTTGGTAGTTTGTTTAACACAACTTCCTTTTATTGCAGGTTGATGACATTGGCACTGACTGGACAATATCAGACTTTATTGATGTGCCCAGATGCAAGTGTGTAATTTCATGAGCCCTCCTCACTCTGCTCTGCTCTTTTTCACAACAGGACGACACGGAGCCCTACTTTATTGGAATATTTTGTTTTGAGGCTGGCATCAAGATCATCGCCCTGGGCTTCGCTGCTCACAAAGGCTCCTACCTGCGTAATGGCTGGAATGTAATGGACTTTGTGGTGGTCCTAACAGGGTGAGTAGCACTAGCCTAATGGCTTATACAGCTGCTAACTGAAAGGGCTGATGGGCAGCAGCGATTAATGAGGGGAGGGGAGAGCTCTGCTTTGTGTGTGTGTGTGTGTGTGTGTGTAGCGTTTCTAATGATCAGTAAAGCCGAGCCATTCCAGATGGCAGGGTGTTTTCTTCCTGTCTGAATAAACAAAGTCTTGATAAGGTGGTATTGTCCACATTAGACATGCAGAAAACCAGAGGGAAGTCATTGTATGTACGGCGCAGAAATGACTGCTCACAGGATGGAATGTTTTGTGGTGCCCCATCACACAGTTAGAAATACAAATATTCCAGCAACAGCACATTTAGCCTTTTCTGTCCCAATCATTTGGAGTTTTCAGTAGTGATGGTCAGAGCTGGTCTCCCCCTTGTGAAAAGGGCCGTTGTATTGGAGCTTGTGTCAAATGACGACTACCACGTAATTGATGATGTCCAATGCTTCAAACGTCACAGATGCTTCTGAAAGCGCTTCATTACTTTGACAGTTTTGCGAGTTTGCAGCTATTGTATATAGTCAGCTGCTGCTACTGTAACACTGGGGGATGAGAAGATAGGGGAATACATTGAGGGCAATGTGGCGATGTAGATGATCATAAACACGTCACTAGTTTCCAAGAGCTGACAGGAGCTGGTGGAACTGATCAATGAATTGTTTAGTCCAACTTACCAAATCAAATAATATCTTCAAATTGCTCATTTCTATGAAAAAAAGCCCCATGGTAACAAATCCTAATTTGTTAATAACTATGAACAGCAGATGTTTAGTGTTTTATTGGGTAAATTAAAACCTTTAAGCTGTTGTCAGAAAGTTTATTGATTAATATTCTGTTTGACTTTGACTTTCCACACTATGTAAGCTGACATGGCTGTAAAGTGTTAATTTAATGATCGGTTTGGACACATAGAACTGGCTCAATGCGGACTTTGATCCTGAGTTGATTGTACAGTCTATATCATACACATCCTACACAGTATTGCCATACTTGTAGTTATTGGTTTCTACCGTAGAAATGCCCAGCAGGCTTAAGAATGTTGCAAAAGCAGTTCTTTTTTCATTCTCTCATCTCAGGTTGTGTGTGGAGTAAACAGAGAGACTCTCTCGGTATCGGATGAATACCGAGGGAGTGTAAAGCTGTGTGGGAATAGTGCTGTTGGTGCGGGGGGTTGGAGAGCAGAGGAGGCTGGAGTGTTGGGGGTTGGTGGGGAAGGGCGGGGGTAGTGACGGAGGATGCAGTTACGCTGCAGAAGGTCCCTGGGCACACGGCGGTTCCACCAGGGGACAGCCTGGCCTCTCTTACATAATGATACAGAGATTTATTTCTATTGGGGCTTGTTTGAGGAACATCAGTGCAATAAACAGAGCCTCCACCAATTCCCAAACCCCTCATCAGCGCCCCCGCCCCTTCCACTGCAAGTCAAAGGGAGTCACTGAGCCTTTTTTCATGTTGACTGAAAAGAAGGGGAAGCAGTCTGTGGAAAATACAATAAACGGCACCAGAATGAGTCTGGTTTTGCTGGAAAGACGCACAGATCTTACGTTTGTTGGTCATTTAGCCATCTACTGCGTTAAAATACTGCCACAATCGACTTCTCAGATGTTTCTGTGTCCTGATTACCCAATCAGCACGGCTTTGCTCGATTATTTGTATTTATTAGCTTAATTTACTGATAAAGTCAATAGGGCATGCAATAGGTCAGGCTGATAGGCCTCAAGGCAAACTATTTAAAACACTCTGTTGCACTCATAAGCTGTACATTTTGAAATTGAACAAGCAAATACAGTTTGAATATTTAATTTTCTTTCACGTTTGAATGAAAGATCAAATTTACACAGCACCTGTTACTAATATGTTTGTGTAAGGATGTATCAGTAATTATAGTTTTGTATATTATTTATTAGTTTTTATTTTTGTTTAGTTTCAGTATTGTTTAAAAAGGTTTAGTTTTTATTAGTTTCAAAATTAGTTTTATTTTTAATTTATTATAATAAAGGGGGTATTTGTCAAGGTAAAGAGTTAAGAAGTTCAGAGAAGCTATGCCAATACAAACACATGGACTCGTCTTAATTAACAGAAGCTCCAATGCCTCCTTAACATTTCCTGAGTATTTGTATTTTATTTTATACACAATATCATTTGAAGGAGTTTTGTTTTTTAGTTTCAGTAAATAGTTTTTCACACCTAGTTTTAGTAAAGTAATGCCCTTGGTATGTATGAGCTCTGTGTGTGCATGTGTTTGGGTGCAGTCGATACAATTCACAATACTGGGTTCACACATTTTGCCTGGAAAAAGATTCCTTTATTTCTCAGACAGAAATCTGATCTGTGCTGGGCGTGCTGAGTGTAGAGGTGAGGCTTATTGACAGGGCCTGTGTGCAGCCAGAGCCTCTTCCAGTGTGTGTGTGGATGGGAGCGGCACAAACAGGCCTGATTGAATTGGAGCTCGGTAGGCTGACGTGATAACCGTAATTGAAGGACCGGGTGGTGGATAGAGGCCATTACAGCAGCGGTCTGGACATCCTATCAGTGCCAGGCTACACTGACGGCTTGAGCCGTGTTGTCAGGGTTGATACTGGATCGCTCACATAAAGCGCATGCAGCTGAACGCACGCACACATGCAGTGGGGCGCACTTAAACATGCATGTACACACATGCCAACAAATCACTTTTCCATGATGATGTCCATTTCCTGCAGGATGTGCTGTGTAGAAAGCCATAGCAATTAGGCATTAGCAATGAGTCACTGATTATGCATTGCATTCAGCTCATTTGGACAGGACATGAAAATATTAGTCAGCTTAGCAGCCTGTTGGTAATACGAGCATATGAGCTTTAACTTTTTTCTTTAGTGTTAAAGATAAGGTGGGTCTGTAACCACTGCAACAACACCACAAGGTTTACACTTTCATCAGCCACCAGTGGCTGTGGTTTCCACTCAAAGTTCTTTAATGATTTCTCATGAAAATGGTAAAAACATGTGTTGTCTCTTTACTAAAGCATAGAGGACGACCTTTCTATGTGTTTTTACTTGTACCTACTGGTACACTTTAATGGAGGCTGACCAGCCAGGGCCCAGATATATGTTTTAATACTGTAAACAAGGCAATATGTATTGCAGTTTTTATATTAAAAAACTGAGGGTGACAAATGTGACAGCAGGTTAGCAGAGCATAATGTGCTTCCAGTTAATTCATTGTTTGTTAGTGTTTGAACAAAACAGTGACAATAAGGTTTATGTTGAAGCAGCATTGTTCATCTTTAGCCCCTTGGGGCAAGAACTCCACACAAGCTGACAGATAGACAGGCCAATGTTAATATGCTAGCAAACAGTTGTCCATATGCACTCCGCAGACTCAGTTACATTAGCATGCATTTGGAGTTGTGTTAGTATCCACCTGATAAATCCAATATTAACTCTCGTGTCCACCAGCAGAGAAATCTGCTAGATGTTTGTCTTTCTTCACCAGCAAGTCTCTAACTGTGTCTGTGTGCTGTTTGGTGCTGGGCAGGTCGTGTACAGTGGGTGCATCAACGTTTTTTTAATTTTGCTTGGGCTGCTAGCTGCTGCTGAAAGTGGAGATTCAACCTTACAGTACATTTACAGGTCATAAAGAAAACATTGGGCTCACGTTAAAAGTTTCTAAAAAGCTCCATAGAGTGCAGAGTTGGATGAAACCATCTCCTTTTAACGGAATATTTCAATATCTTGTTTTATTCAATATCACATTAAAAAATCAATAGCAATTTCAAGTTTTTGTATTTAAAGGAAAAGGATTTGGAGACATTGTGATTAAACATGACAGGCCCTATTTAGAGCCAGGGTTTGTTTCCTCAGTTTTTGATTCTATTTGGTCTATTTGGTCACTTTGCCTTTTATATTTTTCAGTATAAGTAGCTCGCTGATGCTTTTGGCCACCTCATGTTTACGTGACCATCATTATCTAATTTGTAGTGTTCCTTTGGGAGCCTTCTGGGATTTGTCACCCTGCCATAGCAAGTAGTCCAAAACTCTTATCTCACGTTTGCAATGTCCATTTTGTTCAGTGCGCTCAATTTATTTCAGTGCGCCTTGCTTCTACTTCACTTAGTGTTTCTACAGGTTTCCCAGAATGCTTTTTCATAAATCCCAAGAAAGGGAGGTGAACTCAGCTGGGCATTGAGCTGTTATTTATACACAGAAAAGGAGAGAGTGACAATCATGGCACAGTAACAGGAGGAGAGCAAGAGTTTCCAGGGAGAAACAGTGAGAGTCATGCTCCTTATTATTCTGAGGCAACTGTAGCTGGACAAACTAGTGTCTCTGTCTTTTCTACGACAGTCCTCTCCCTCGGTGATTATGGAACAATATTTGCTACAGATGTTTTACAGAGCTTCTGCTGTCAAACTGCATTGTAGCTCAGAGACAAGTTGACTCAACATGACATCGTCTACAGCCAATTATCAACGAACAACAAAGGAAAAAAAGAAAGAACCTAGTCCAAAATGCTGGAGCGTTATCATTAGCTGTCACATACTGCAGTATTGAAGTATTTCAGGGAGGGGTTTCCCTTCATCTGTTGATTCTGTTTTATTACAATGGTTACAGCTTGGTAATCATTCCTATCAGCAATAAAAACGTTGTACTTATCAAGATAATTGCTGAGAGCTGGGAACATGGCCACATTGATGAGAAGAAGTCAGATTTGAGTTTAAGAAACCCCCAGGTAATTGCCATAATTATTTTCTCTAAATCAATCTACAGGCCTGTGTTTGTGGTCTACATACTATTATATTTGTTAATTACAACTGAATAACTGGCTGGTTATGCTGATAAGACGTGTCTGTCAGGTTTTGATATCTGCTGACAGTTCTGCACTGAAGTTTGAGTATGAGCTGCTTCACAGCTCTGAATCCTGGAGGATTGGATGTGCTTAAATGTTTAACTGGGAGATTCAGACAGCTCTGTTCACCCACTGTTTGCCA